TGAGTTTGGATCTAGGCCTTGGGGTTGTCTTTGGGGGTTTCGGTTGGGAGAGGAGCTTAGGGATTTGGACCTAAGGGGTTTTCAGGCTTTAGGCCGCGTGCATGGGCTCTTGTCGAGCTCTGCGGGCCGCTTATAAGGCTACATGCTGAGGGCCAGGGGTAGGAAGCAGGATTTCGGGTTTGGGGCGAGGGTCTGGGGTTTGGGGGTTGGATGTAGAGTTTAGTACTTCGCGGTTTTGGGTCGGGTCAAGGTTCATGACAGGATGTAGGATCTTGATTTTCGGCATAGGGCTGAGGATTACTTTTGTAGGCTGGGATGGGAAGGCCAAGGATTTTCGTTGGGGGGTAGCATGCACCCTAAACCCAAAACCCTGGGGTTGCGGCCTCAAGGCTAAGTTTAGGGATTGGCGGGGCTGCCTCTAAAACTTCGGTGTCGCTTGGAGAGATCTCGGCTCGGGGCTTCGGCTTCAGGGTTTAGGATTTCAGGGTTTAGGGTTTAGGGGCTTCAGGGTTCAGGGGTCTAGCGCATGCTCCGAGGTTTCAGGTCTTTAGCACCTCTCCTTTGATCTTGCGGATGTGAAGGCGAGCTCAGCTTAGAGGAATGATTGCAACGCCGCGGCCTTCGACAAAGTGCAGGACGAATTTGTTAGACTTCAGCAGGGCCGCATTGCGCCTCGCACCTGAGGCGTCGGCCTTTAGGGTTGTGGGGCTACTAGCTGCAAGGGTTGGGATGCCTTGTAACGGGCTGTTTAGCATAGTTCTTCAATCGGAGCCCCTTGAATAAAGCTATCTCAGTCGATCTGTCAATTGTTGGATGCGATCAGGCGTATACATCCGTAACGTAACCCTAACATAAGACCCGTATCTTGATAGGACACCAGGGTTCGGGCCGTAGACTGTCAGATTTGGAAGGTCCAGAAAGTAAGGGACCCCAGCTTAGACCCTGAATAATAGCATCTTCCTAGTGATGGCAGAAGGAACCTTAAAATTCGATTCCGAGGAGTAGGACCCTCAAACATCGAACCTTAAACACTAAACTAAGGAGCCCTTTTCCATTCGACCCCAAAGTGTGTGTAAGAAATGCCCACTGGCCGGGGAGGAGGGGTTAGGAAACCTGAGCGGTGCGAGGAAACACGCATTCCAGCTTTCAAGTTTGACCATTTGACCATGAAATGTGCTGAAAAAGCAAATTGTTCTATCCTGCCTTGCAATGATACTTGTGTTAATGCACTGCATAATTAAGTCAGGGTCCCATTTTAAGGCTACAGAAAGGGCGCTGAAATTCAGAAACCTCCTTTAACCTTCGCACGGACACGGACGCGATGGGCACTTGAATTTTCTAGAAACCTTCATATAGGGCTCGAACTTGTAGAATAGGAGCGTGAAAAAATTGACTAGGGTTTACGGTGTGTTTATGCTGCGTACCTATACATAGAATACATATACACAGACATACAAAAAACACATGCGTACCTACACATGCGCATGCACATTCACGTACACCTACACTTACACCTACACCTACCAATACACCTACACATGCACACGTACATACACATACACACATACGTACACACATGTGTACACACATATGTACACGCATACGTACACACATACGTACGTACATACATGCATGCATACATGCATACATGCATCATACAAAGGTATATATATGTATATATATATATATATATATATGTATGTGTGTGTGTACATCTACAGGAAGGAGCCCGATGGAATAATATCTAATGTTATAACCTTCTTGCAAGTGCATCGAGTGCTCCATGGACGGCATGTATCCTAGGGCTATGAGCTGCAAGTTGTCGGTTTAGTACCTCAGGCGTACAAGAACCTTGAACTACGCGGAGATTCCAAAACCCCTGTATTCAGGAAACGCATTATCAGCAACCGTTTTCGAAGTATGGATGGGTTTTGGAATCTCTTGGTATGGTGCCACTGGATGCCATCTGGGGCTACATCTTAACACCTCCACCCGAAATCCCAAACCCGAACCCCAAGCCCTAAAGCCCTGAGCCCCCACTTCATTCAGGTGCATACAGTGAGAATCAACACTGGAGTTTCGGGGTAGAGTATAATTTCAGTACAGTATAGTATAGTATAGTAGCGTATCGTACCGTATAGTATGGTAATGTATAGTATAATATAGTATGGTATCGTATAGTATCTATAGTGTCGTCTAGCTACAAGAAGGAATGCTAGGGAAAAATCTTGGTAATCATTGATCTGAGTCTGTTGGACGGCACAATCACCGCAGAGCTGCTGGCATAGCCTTCTCGCAACATCGCATGTCAAACAGATGATTCATCTGGCCTCCTGTACACTGACCCTGTAGTAACCCTTGTAATAACCGACAACGTATCGATCCTGACAATTCCCCTCATAGGAACCCTCAACATGAACCCTTTCATCCTACAGAGTACTTGGACAAGTTGCTGAGCTTGGCTTGAGCCGCCGCGAGCTTTTTGCGGGCCTGGGATACAAGAAGGCTTTAGTGCTTTTTGGGTGGTTCAGGGTTTAGGGGTCTTGGGCGTTAGGCTGTAAGGGCTCGGGCTTAACATTGCAAACCCGGCACCAGGTAGCTCGCAAAAGGCCGCGCATGCCGGGAGCGAAGCTGCTCATGGCCCTCCCTACTTCAGGACCCCTCTTAGGGACCTCTTATCCCAAGAAAGCGAAACCCTAAACAAGAGAATCACTCTTGGACTTCGGATGCAGAGGTCGGAGGACGCCAGTCCGGACCGTGACAGGGTGGCCCTCAACCCCCAAAGCCCTCCAAAACTTGCCCGTCGTACTTGGACCTTGTGGCTTCAACCTTTACAGTCAAACCTAGGAAAAGACAAATCAGGTGTAAGATTTGTGGTTTAGGGAGGGCGTAGTCACCGGGAATTCGATTATCCTGAATATCTTGAAACTCCAGGCTAGCAACTGTTGTGCTGAATGGTCGGGTCGCCCTCGCCCGAAACCCGCCCTAAATGCTCAGCCCTCAGAACTTCCTCAACCCGCTACCCACCCATGAAGACCTCGCAGGAGCATTGGCGAAGGGATCTCACATGCATGGGAGAGTATACTTTCTCCTGAGCTCCAAGCAGCCATTGCTTCCTCTTGGCACCGCGTCTGAGCCAGGTGGAGGAGCTCAAAGGTTAGATGCTGGGGCTTAGCAGGCTGCCCATCGCCATTCAGAACTGTTCTGGAATTGTCTGGCACACTTGGGCTTCCTTTGAATATGAGACCCGGAACCGCCAAAAAAAGAAATTCGGGCAGCGAAACAGCTTTCAGAGCAGTAGTGCCAGTAAACTATAGTGCATGACATTCAGCTGAACTCCTGGGCCCTAGGCTTGGGAGGTCTGCGAAGGATTTAGCTCAAGAGCTGAACAGCACCGGTGGGCTCGTTCTTCATTTGGTCTCGAGGCTAAGGGTTCGTCGCAATGGCTCTAACATACGGGCCTTGATAAGTATAGGTAGGATGTTGAGGGGTATGTTGTCTCAGCGCAAGTATTTGGGGAATATACTTGCCACATTTGGTTTGCGTTTGCGGATGGGGCGCATCAAAGTGCAGGCCAGAGAGGGCCGAACCAGAGACCAGATTTAGGATAAAGGGTTTAGGGATATCCTGCGGGCTGCCACTGCTCAAGTGCTACAGGGAAGCATGAAAGCTGGAAAGGCTCAGTTCAGACTCTACCAAAAAAACGAGCCCTACACCACTCAAACACCAAACCGCTGCACAAGAAAACCCCCATAAACCCCAAACTAAACCCGGAACCCCTGAAACCTATTACCTTAAAGCTATAGATATTAGCAACTCAAACCCCAAATCCTAGAATCTATGACTTTGCAGCTGCTTGATTGAGGCGTCTGCGAGCTTCCCGGTCTTTGCAGCGTTGTCCTGAAATCCAGCGGCGTCTCTTTGTGCTCTACTTTGCGATTCAAGGTCGATGGTTAAGGACTGAGCGCTCTTGCTTGTGTGTTTTTGGGTTGAAAATTCAAAGATGAAGGTTCGGGTTTGGCATGTGCTTTGTTCTATGCTAGATAAAAGAGCCCTCCATCTCGAAACTCAAAGCCCCAGAGCTCCGAAGGGTCCCAAGAGCCTTCAGAGGCACAGATCAGCTGAGCCCTGCCTTGCCCCACTCTCGTAGCCGATCTCCAAAAGTCCGCCTGGGCTTGGGTCAAGGATCATCGGTTCTGTTTTCCACGTGGGGTTTCGGGCTTAGGACCTAGGCGTTTTCCAGGCTTAGGGCTGATGTCCTTTAGGTTCTCAGAGCCTCAGCGCTTGAAGTTGCGGGTTGTCTTCGGGCCCAACGGTCACGAACTGTTTGGGAAGTCAGCATTTAGGCCGTTTCGTGTTGTCTTTGGAGCTTTGATCGTGGCTTCGATCCGCAGAAAACTGCAACTTGAATTGTGGCATCCCCTCCATGTCACCGTCAGCTAGGCCATGAAGAGAATGAGTTTATATTTTGATGGCAGATACTTGGCAGATACTGCACTCCCGGCAAGCGTGGTACATGTACTTGGCAAAGATGGTCTGTCTCCTCGCCCTGGGCCGGAACCTCATCACAACTTTCTGCGGTATTCTTGTTCCATGAATCCATAGCTTCCACCGCCCTACAGAGCTACGAATACACCGGATGGCCACACTGCCATCCAGAACCCCCGCATGTGCCAAGAAAGAGGGTTTGGCAACGGCAGTCGAGCTGCGGACTTGGGGATGAAGACAGGGCTTGCGCTTCGCCAGGGTTTCGGGGTCTGGTGCGTGAGGTTGAATTTGAATGCTTGAGAGCTTGAACGGTGCTTGAATGCAAACGGTGCAGGAATTCAGAAGCTAGGTGCCCAACGGCTGGCAAACCATCAATCCCAGACCGGAAACAACCACCTGCGTCTTAAGTCAAGTACACCGTAAAAACTCTAAAGCTCGCGAAAGCCCGATGCCCAAAACCCTGAGCACCGCCAGCACTAATCTAACCTTGCCTAGCCCAAAGCAAATCCGTGTCAGGCAGGGCACAGCTCTGCGCCGGCCTGCGTGGCGGCCATCCTGGTAACCAGGGTTCAGCCGCGATTTGTTCGGTGCTTCAGGGCTTACGCTTTTGGATGTCGGCCCTGATGACGGCCTTATTTGATTCTGACTCTGGGCTTCGAGGCTTTTTAGGGTTTGGTCGGAGTTTATGCTGAGGCCGCCCTAACTTTGCGTCAGGCCGATTTCAGTGGCCTGGACCTTCTGTTTGCAGACATTGGGCTTTGCACGCCTTGAACCCGAAACCGACCCAAAGCCCTAAATCCTACAAGTGTGCTATTTTGTTTTAAACTTGGGGCCTCACTAGATGACTAGGGCTTTGGGGTATGTATCCCGACCCCTGCGTGCGACATCGGCCAGCCGTGACTAGCATTCTGCCACCCCTCAGACCAAACATGTCGGGATGTAGGGTTTCAGGCATCAGCATCCCCAAAAGGACACCAAAACCGGAACAAAGACCTTGCTGGCTACATACTGGTATGCTGAAGGAGCCAAACATCTCGTGGATTTAGAACGGTACACCTGAAGTTTCGGCTTAGGACCGGTGCTGGGTGAGCAAAACTTCATCTCCGAAACGCCTGAATCTGAAACCGCACAGCCTGTAGACAACGTGCGTGATGCCGAAGGAGACCGCGTCTACCAGCGCCTCTTCGACAGTTGCAGCCTCGGTTGTGTTGGCTGAGGGATGAAAAAATGAGAGCCTATTTATGATGAGAATATGGATTCAGTGTCAATTTTCGTACAAGTAGAATAAGGAACCCTCAGAATTAGTATTCCCAACTATCAGTAGGGTTGAGAGTGGTAACTTTTAGGGCTCGCAGGGTTCTTCAAGGTCAGGCCAAGTTTGGAATGTAAGGCTTGGATGACAACATTTTCCTAAACCCTAAGCCCTAAAACCTAAACCTCTAAACCCGTTCTTGGATAACGGCCCGGAAGAAAAAAAAACGTATACACCCCCAGACTTTACAGCCACAGGCAACCACCGAGGGTGGGCAAGAAGGTGTTGGATATCTGTAGACGTCTAGATGATCATTTTGGTCCGAACACAAGCATCCGCATGCCATGCAAGGGCAACAGTAGGTTTTTCTGGCTCTGGGGGTGAGGCTAGAGGGCCTTAAAGTAGCGCCTGGGACCTCAAGACTCCGGCGGCTGAGCTCGAATATCTACATCCCATGGGTCAACCTTAACATCCTGGTACAATGGCCTGCCTGAGATGGCTTAAGACACATGGCTTTCAAAGGGTATACGATTGATAGACCGCAAATAGTTGAGGATCCTGAATACTAGACCCGAAATCCTAAATCCTATGATTGCAACCCTAGGACTCAAACTCCGAAACCCAAGCCCCAAAACACCGAGTAGAACCTATACAGACCTCAGCCCATTTCGAATCCTTACACAGCCACACAACCCTTAAACCCTAAACACTCATTGAAGCGTTACACGTCAAGTCTTTGCAAAATCCCTCAACCCAAGAAGATCCTCTAACCTAGGCTCCCAGCATCACCGGCTTCCAGGCCGGATCTCACCTACACGTCGGCTCCAGGGTTGAAGGTTTAGGGTTTAGGGCTTAGGGGGGTCTGAACGGCCGGGGCTTGTTAACAGCACTCCTCTGAGTTCTAGTTTGCGATTGCAGTGCATGAAACTTGTACCGGGCGTTTACAGGTCCCACATGGATTTGCCAGCGCTTTCAGACGTATGGCTTTTATGGTGTTTGCATAGAGCTTTAAACAGGCTTCAACAAAGTTCGGGGTTTATGCAGGGTTTTTGAAGGACGACATCAGGTTTAGGGTTTGGTGGTTAGGGCTCACAGCTTGGGCTGGAGGTATAGATTTAGGATGATTTTACGGTTTCAGGGGTGAGGAATCGTCTTTTAGGGCTCAGGGAACCTGTTTCGAGCTTATGAGGCAAACCAATTGACAGAGAGGGCGAGAAAGGGTGAGATACGAAAACGATGTGGCGGCCGGGAAACCGACACCTCAGCAGCATCCAATCCAACTTTGTAGCTTCACTGCAATGCCAGGACAACCCAAGCGTATTGGATGTACCAATGGCCCCCCCACCCCACGCAACCCGTTAAAAGAGGCATGGAAGTTGTGGTCTCAATTCTCGAGGTCTTGTTGGCCGGAGGATGATGCGCTGCTGTTTACCGAATGTCTTGCAACTCCAAGGTTTTGTTGGACCCCGAAGAAGGCCACTGGCGACGGAAAGTAAGACTTTTAGCACCCATGGGAAGCGTCAGCTGCAGGCATCTTGCGCTGTCAATAGTCGGGCTGAAGTCCTCGATGACATCGTCCACAGCGGAGCTGCAGTTCGAGATGGCATGGAAGGCATGTTCGGATCTCCTGTTTCGACAGAAGTTCCCAAAAATGTCGTTCGCTGCAGCCGGCGTCGAAGGCGCTTTCACAGAACTGCTGCGCACCTGTAACCTGAAGGCCTATATATCCTAAAGCATCAGCATACAGCTGCACAGCCGAGAAACATTCAGACTATCGAAGACGTGCCACGGGGTATATCGGTTTACAGCTAAAAAGCCCACAGCCCAAACAACCCTGAGACTAAACGCGAAAATAGCTTAACTGCTGAATCCAAACCGTTAAACGGCAGTACCACATGCACTTTGCCCTGCCTTGAGGCCTGGATGTAAATCCCTAAACGCGGGCCCTGTATTTCTCGACCCTCAACCTGATACCCCGTAAAAAACGCCTTAGCTTTGGTCCATAACTTAAAGCCTAAACCCTCAAACGCTGAACCCAGTTAGCAAAACCTCAGCCCTAAAGCCTAAACCCTATAAAGAGCCGAATTCTTGGCACTGGGGTTTAGCACTCAGCCCTATACCCCAAACCCTAGGTTCAAAATCTGAATCTAAACCCCCTGAGTAACCCTAAACTCAAAGTCCGGCGATTTCGGGTACCGGGCAACGACACGATGGAGGAATGGGAGGAGCATCGGTTCCGCAAGGAGGCGGAGCTCCGCTGTAGCCGGGGGACTTGGTCCCCTACCGATGGCAAAGTCCGATTTCGAGTACCGGGAAACGACACGATGTAAGGCTTCCGGTTCAGCACCACGCTTGCTGAGGCTCATCCACGACAGCGGCGACAGCAGTAACAGTAAGTAGTAAGTAGTATGTAGTATGTAGTAGGTAGTAGGTAGTAGGTAGTAGGTAGTAGGTAGTAGTAGTTCCGACCGCTAGATTTGGCATTTTGGTTCCTCATTAACCAACCTTGTGGCAGGATCCGACAGTCAGGAAGTAACACAGGAACTCAAAAATAACAACCCTTATAGTCTCCGTGGGAGTGCACTGTTTGGCTTGACCTATTCTATATTTGGGATCCTGTAAGGTACCCCCCCCCATCCTACACCCTGAACCCGAAGCTCCAACCATCCTCTAACTTGAAACCCTAAACCCTAAACCCGAAACCCAAATCCTAGCCATCGCCTTCTCAGAGCAAGCCACCAGTTGCTGGAGTTGGACAAAGAACTCCTGAAACCTCGGTTCAGGGGCTCGGGTCCAGGGTTAGGGCTTTGAAGTGTTTAGGGCTTAAGTGCCTCGGCTTGACTGGGTCATAGATAAGGGAGAATGACTAAGGTCACTAGGCCGAGACTTACTTGCGACCCCAACGGAGGTGCTCATGACCTTACTGGCTGACTTTCGGAGGGCCGATGTTCACGGGCTTAAGCGTCCCGATACTGTATGGGCCTTAGCAATTGGAGTAATCTTTGGGCGGGATGCTTTCAGTGTAGCCACGTCTGATGACTACATGGGGATGCTGAGACTCATCGTCTTGACCCCCATAGTGGGGACCCTTGTTATTGTTTCAGTGCAAGGTTCATGCAACGCACTGAGGGCTCCACCGGCCGTCGCCATCCTGCGGCGGAGCTGAGGGCAGAGGCTTCTGCCGTCGAATGCTTTCGGTTGAGGGTTCCTGGGTTTCGGGTTAGGTCAGGTTTGGGGCTTTAGCTGTTGGTGGTCTCGGAGCTTCAGGGCTTTGGGGCGAAGTAGCCTTGGGCTTGGCCTCGCAGGCTCGAAGCTCCGGGGTTCTAGGGACAGCAATTGCACTCGGTATCATGCCCCGAAAGCAAACTACATCGAAAACCCGCACTCACCCTCCTCGTGGTCTAGTTCAAGTCTTGGTGTTTGCTGTAGTTGTGACCGTCGATTTAGGAAGCCCAGTCTCAAGTTCTGTGCTGATCAAGCCCGAGAATCCCCAAGACCAAAAACTGAAAGCTGTACACGAAACCCCAAACCCAATACCACAAAACCCAAGACACCACAACCTTAATCCCGCAAACCTAGGGCCAAAATTCTATGCCTCCCTCTTCGCTGCCTGCGGGATCTTGGCAAGCAGCGTGCTAATCTGATCCTCCTGCCGCGGAACCAGGGCTCTGTAAAATCCGAGAAGGCACACCTCTGGGGGCCAAGGTTTCCGGAACTCTGATTTGAACTTAGGATTAAGGGGTTCGGGTGTTAGTGACAGGGTTGGGATTCTTCTTGTATTTTGGAGATTTGTTGGGGCGCTGGGGCTTCGTAGACTGGCGTTTCCGGAGCACCGGGGTGGTAATATAAAAAGCCTAATTGTGAGTATACTAATGCAAACTCATTCCTTTGCATCAAGGTGCTTATGATTCTACTGATTATACTGATTATACTAAAAACTACCCCAAACCATACTAGCATCATTCTTTGGGTTCTTATTATGATTATTACGAAAATATACCCAAACCCTATTCTACTTGTTCTGGCCGTTTCATTCGGTCTCCTCATCCATGGCCATGAGCTCCCGCTGCTCCTCTGCCGACCTGCGACCAGGTCTCCATGAGAGAACGATCCCCCGGTTTTTACTGTAGAGTGTAGATTTCAGGGTGTAGGGTTTCCGGGATAGGCTTGAAGCTTCCTCCTTTCCCGAACTATGTCCCTCTTCTCTCTCTGTCTTGCTCTCTGTTCGCTCTCTCTTTCTCTCTCTCGCTCGCTCCTCGCTCTCCCTCTCCCTCTCTCTCTCTCTCTTGGGCTTCTCTGGCTCTCTGTTTCTCTCTACTGCTTCTCGCATTTTGCTCTTTCCTCCTCGGGTGCCAGGGCCCCCGCGTCTGGACCCCGAAGCCGGACAGCAGCCGTGCCTGGTGGAAGCAACTCCCTGTAACTGTAGGGTCAGGGTTTTCAGTTGGGATTTGGGCCTCAACCCTCTACTCCCTCAGACCCCTAAACCCTCTAAACACCTGCTAACTTATTTAGAGTTTAGGGTTATGCGGTTCGGGGTCTCCTGCACCCTGTTCATCCTGAACCCTTAAGCTGAATCTCGCGATGAACCCTGAAAACCCCGAAGCCATAAGCCCTAAAGGCCCTAAAACCCTGAACTATCGCCCTGGACAGGAAAGAGCCTGGCCAGATGATGTGGGGCATCCAAAACAAGGGCTTAGGACTTAGGCGCCTTGGTTTCAGGCCGCAGGGTACACTTGGGGCTGAGAGTTTAGATTTGAGGTTCAGGGTGAGGGTGTTCGGCCACTCGACCTTCCAGACTTAGGGAGTTTGGCTGATGTGGGTGGGGTCGGTTTTACGGAGGTTGTGGTCAGTTCCGGGGTGGGTGTACAGAGGGGTTTAGGGGCGTTGGTTATCCCTGTAAACCCCCGAACCCTGAAGCCCCAAGGAGGCTCCCTGGAAGGATTCCAAAAAGAAGCCGTAGAATGGGAAAGAAGAAGAAGAGTCCCGGGAGGCAGGGAAAAAAACCCAAGGGGCTAGATCGAAGCTCTGCTATCAAGACCTCTGCATTGCAGAGGGTGCGCGTTCCGAGCATTTGCCTCTTTAAAGCCACCAACAATCGGTAGCCCCAACTACAACCCTGACCGTTATTGTTGTTGTCAAAAACAAGTATACGATAGTATACTCAGACAACCTGATTCCTACTATGAACCCCGAAAGTTTGTGGCCCCACACCGGATCTTGAGCTCCGCACTGCGGCTGCGATGACATGGCGCTTGTCGCTGCAGCTGGAGAGCGAGGAAGAAACCAACTGCGGAGTCGGCAGTGGGAGCTTTGGGGGTTTAGGGCTTAGGGTTTAGGGTTTAGGGTTTAGCCAAACCCTAAACTTAGGGTTTAGGGTTTATGGAGGGGCCTGTGGCCCTGGTCTGCGGGACTGAAGCCCAAGCCCTCCGCATGCTGAGATTGGATCCAGCTTTCGGACGCAGCTTGGGGTCTTAGTTCCAGGGGCTCCTTACTGTAGTACCCAAGTCAGGACTACATAGAACATCGGGGAGCGAAGGTGTGGCTCCTTCGCGATCTTTGTCGGCATATAGGAAGTGAATGCAGACCGTTGATTCATCAACACCCTTTCCTCAAGATCCTTAATATGAGGATTCCGATTCTTTTCCCTAAGCCCGCCATGCGATAGGCTCGCTGGTTCCATAGAGGATGTCAAGAGCTGCGAAAGTAGAAGAGATGCCCGCAAACCCAAACCGCTGCGTCCACAGCCCTCAAAACCCTCATGTGCTGAAACAGAGAGCCTGAAGATCTGAACAGTTTCGAACCTCTGAACCTTTGCACGCGAAACTCTCTCCGCGGTTCAGGGCTTTGGGTTGGGGACTTGGGGTCTTGTTTTGATGCTGACGGCTTTAAGAAACAGCACTGCCACAAGCGGCCTGAAAGTGACGAGTGTCGAAGAAGTAGCCTGAAGCAGGATTTGGCATACACAGGTTGGCATCGGGGTCGTGCTTCTCGGGAGGGGAGGGAATGCAAGGGCTGGGAGTTTAAAGGTTCTTCGACCGCTTGCGTTGAGGAAACACCCTGTTTTAGTCAGAACAACTCACTCACAGGCTCGAAGACAGACTTGCGAAGGCTTCTCGGGATAGTACGGGATACAGAAAAAAAATCCAAATGAGCAGAAACACGAGCTTTCAAGAAAAAGTGCCATCTTCCCAAATTTCAAAGGTTACATGCTGCCCTGAAATGCTTCGGGCCGCGGGCATTTCTGGGCGGTTTAGGGTTTAGGGTTTAGGGTTTAGGGTCTGAGGCCTCGTTCAGGGTTTAGGGCCTTTAGAGTTCAGGTAAGGTTTAGGAGTTTCGGGTCCAAGGCCTCAGGGTTTAGCATTCAGGCGTAGATGTTGATTGATATCCTTCCTCTGCTGGCTTCAGTCAGTCCCGCACCACATCCACCGGAAGAACGAACCCCTCAGAATCGTCCAACCTAACTAAACTTCATTCGGGCCAAACTTCGGAAAACTGGATATGAGTCTGCATGGCTTTCTATGACGACCTAATCATACATGTACACCACAATAAACCCCAAATCCTACATATTCCAATGAGTAAAAAGAGTAAGGCCCTGTATTGCACACGATAGTAACAGAGCACGACGTTTTGAACTTTGCAGTCTCGGCTTTCCGCTGTGGAGTGTGGCTCGTTTTCGGGGTCTGTCTCTTGAGGAGTTCAAGGCACATAGCATTGAGAGCCAAGCCTTTGTGCTTGCCAGCTCTCTCTCTCTCTCTCTCTGTCTCCCTCCCTCCCTGACTCTGCTTGCACATCTTCGATTGAGGACCCCACCGGCCATATACTCCATCATCAGCTGCAGGCGCTCCTGTGCTTAGAAAGATAGACGGGTTCGTCGTACCTGTCTGAAGGACTCGGCCATGCGAAAAGTCATCTTCGGTCACGTCTAGATTCTGGCTTTACGGGGCTAAAGTTCCGCTCAACATGGCCACTGCCAGGTAGGAGGGGGGCTCAGGGTTGCAGATGCAGGATTCCGGGGTTGGAGGATCTCTAAGCTCCAAACCAAGTCCTCCCAAGGCACTTCCTCTTCCTCGGCGTCAGCCATGGCTTCTTACCCGGCCGACAGAATTCGAATGCAGGGATGCGTTGGGACCACTGGAAGACCAACACAAGGGCTGGGCTTCAGATGGGTTTAGGGTTCAGGGTTTAGGGTTTAGGCTTTAGGGAGGGTCAGGGCTTGGTTTAGGGGTTCAGAGCTTCAGGGTTTGAGGTTGAGGGTTTGGGCTATTGCTAGGGGTGCCACTATCTGCTACTTTTGTCAGTCCGATGTGGCAGGCATCGTTTCCAGGATCGCTGATGCTCTGTGATGTACGCTACGTGTTGGGCCATGTCTTCTTGCTGCTTGAGATGCCCTCCTCCATGAGCACTGCGGCTGACGCTTAAAGCTGATTGGCGGCTCGGACCGGGAAACCCGCAAGTCTTGCATCCCGCAGCCCCTCAGACCCAAAACCTCAAACTTTAACCCTGCAGGTCCTGCAATCTCTCGGACGCAGCATGTAGTGGCCCCAAAAATGAGAATTTATAAGGTTTTGGAAGGTATGGTAGTATGACTATGTAATGACAAGAACGGGGTGCTGTTAAACGGACTACTTCTTCAAACATATACGTGCACATCGGTCGCTCAAGCATCCTTCCATCATTGCTGCAAGCAAGTTAAACAAGAAGCCATCTGAAGTTGTGTCCCTATATTCCTAAACCCTGCACCCTATATTGATCCCTGAGGCACTACGCCCTGAAGCCCAACGAGCCGATCCCAACATCAAAGCATTGAGACCTAAAGTCAAAGCGGTGCATCCTTGGGAGCCTCACCCATCCGCAAGACAGAAGTTCGGGCTTAGGGTTTAGGTTCAACGGTTCAAGTAGAGAGTCCTGCACCTCATCCTAGAGTCCTAGAGCTCTGAATCCGAACAAGCCCACAAGAAGGCTTCACTGCCTCGGGGTTTGAGGTTTGGGGTTTCGGGGTTAGGGCTTTATCGCTTCGGCACCACCCGGGGGTACATTGCTTTCCTTTTTGAAGGGGGCGTCGACTTTCACGAGACTGCAGAAAGACTAAAGCACTCCCTCTGGGAAGGGAGTAAGGAGCCCACAAAACCGCACCTAAAAACGCAAAGCTCAGGATAAGCTCCCGGCAGAAGAGATAGGGCTTGAATGCTGTTGCTTCTTCGGTCCCTGAGAAGAATTCACAACCTCAACCCGCGCGTTGTAGTGTTGGTTGAGCTCTTTCACAAGGCAACTGGGACATGTTTCCCGCCGATTCTAAAAACCTGCGATGTACTTTGTTTGCGGTTCGGGGTTCGAGATCCAGGGTGCAGGGTATAGGAGTAGGACCGTAGTGCTTTAGCTTTCCGATGCGTCCATGCCTCTTTCCCTAATTTATCGACTCACCCTAGACCCTAAACCCTCTAAACCCTAAACCCTCCGTCCCCGGAAACCCCTAAACTGCTCCACCCCACCGGGCTGAGATCGCCTTTTGATTGCAGCGGTCGCGCTCGCTGCGGACAGGAGGCCGTGGGCTTTAAAAGATTGGACCATCCTCCCGAACCCCAAGTCTGCCTGCCTGGTGAACCAACCTCAGAGGTGCGTGCCTGTAGGGTGTAGGGTTTAGGGTTTAGGGCTCTAGGGTTTTAGGGTTTAGGGTTTAGGGTCCCTAAACCCTAAACCCAAAGCCCTGAACATGTGTGTGGCGTTTGGGAGCTTAGCCTGGGCACTAGCTCAATGACAGACCGGCAACAGCCGGCTCAGGCGGCAGGGATGACGTGGAGAAGAGGATCCTCCAGAACTTAGGGCGCTCTTGGGATTTAGAGTTTAGGGCTCTGGGTTTAGGTTTAGGGCTTCGGATTTCGAATAGCTTCTAGGAACACAGGGTTCAAGTTTGGGGACTGGAAGGGCTTATCGCGTTGCTTCACGACTGAAAGATTGGCGTAGGGTTACTTTACACGGCTTGCCCAAGTATAGGGGCCTTGATAATTAGAGTAGAGTTTTGGCGTATACTGTATAACACGATGACTATAATAGGGAGTGTGTTGGAAAGATACTAGCGATTATTGAGGCTTCCATGCTCTGTGAAGGCACAGAGTAGACTTCTTGTGATGAACCGCTGATTAACTACTGCCCAAAACCCTAAACCCTCAGTCCTAAACCCTGCAACTACACCCAAAACCCGAAATCCTAAACCGGATCAGTAAATCTAGTTACTTAGTCAAAAGCTTTGGGGGCCTCGGCCAAGCATCGTGCAAACACTGCAGCAGCATGTCCACATCCGCGATGCGGTATACAAGGTCACAGGACTTGATCAGTCTCTAACGACCCCGTTGCGACCCTGTGAGCCTAATCTCTGCACCTACGATTTAGGATTTTGTGCTCAAGTTCCACAACCAGGATTCTACATTTCAGTGATCTTCAAACCAAACTGGCCTCCCGTACGGTAAACCTCTACTTCCGAAGCCCGAACCCTGCAACGCTATATCCTAAATCCAGCCACAGCCCAAGGCCTCAATGTTGCCGATGCCGTAGCTGCCAAGGGTCTTCCTCAGAAACGCATATAGGGTTGCTTTGGGGTCTACAGTTCAGGCTAGCGGCTGGTTTGAGACGTGTATGAATCGCAAAGTGTCGAGTTTTAAATTCGGCTTAAGGGCTGAAGCTTTTGATTCTTCGGACACTCCGCCTAAGTCATCACTCCTGCAACGCTAAACTCACCCCATTCCCTCAATCCAGAACCCTGAATTAAAATCCCGCACCCCTAAAGCCTACACCCTACAAAATTCTATGAGGTGCGGTAACAAAGAGCTGCGCAAAGTCCAACAAGCATCACGCCTAGGGCCGCCCAGGCCTGAAACCTGCATGGCCAAGAACGTCGAATTCTAGACCTCATACCAACCCTCGACCCCCCAACTACCACTACTATATCCAAAATACCCTCTATGTCCCCCAGATACCCACTATCAAAGATTATAAGGGCTCTCTTGGAGGGCCCTTGGGTGATCCTGGTTAGAACCAGGCAGGGTGAGTGCTTCGTGTGCTGAGGCCGATACGATCAGATTGGGTCGATAGGCTCTTGGGTTTCGTTGGGCTTTTTGAGGGTCCCAGGGCTTGACGGCTTTCGCGCGCAAGGTCTGGCTTTAAGATTGGCTCTGCCAGGATGCAAATTTCGGGGAAAGAGTTCACCGCCTGCGCTTCAACGAAATAGACTTCGTCCTTGAAGTTCCGTAGAGCCGGTATGCCAAAGTATGACGCACTCTTCTTCGCTATACACTAAACCACAAATCCTACAAATCCTCGGAACCTACACACAAATCCCCTCATCCCGAAACTTCGGGCTCCTTTTCTTTTCTGCGCGAGATCATCATTGATCATGTCACGGCTCGCGCTTTCTGATGCAGGCTTCCCTCAATTTCTCCGAGCATTTGGGGCTAGCCTGAGTTATGGCAGCGTGAGGGTTCGCGGCGTAGCTAGAGTCCAAGGTCACGCAAGTTGATGTAAGATGTACGCTTTAGCTTATGTGGAAGCCAGACAGTTGGAATATCATTGTCCTCATGCCCTCTGAAATATGGAACAGAGGGTCCCACACTAATAATGCTAAACCCTCAGATCGCTAAAGCTAAGCACGGTAAACCCACAAACCCCTAATTCCTGAAACCCTAAATACCCCTAAAGCCCAAACTCCGAAACCCTCCTGTAGAGCCCTACATCCTGAATACAAAAACCTGTCACCTAACTCCGTGCGGTCCAGGGATCTAGACTGGACCCTAAACCCGAAACCCTGAAATTATAACCTGGAGCCCCTGGGACCGGTGGCCCGTCTGACAGGCCCAGACCAGAAGTTTTCGGGCTTGTGGGTGGGCGGCTTAGAGTTTAGGTTAGTGTGGTTCCGGGTTTAAGGGTTAGAAGTCGGCCTCCATCGGCGTTTACACGGGTCGACAGGGCTTCGAAGGAGGTCAAGATCCGGAAATCCTAGCTTAGTCACAAACCGTCATGGGAAAGTAGGACCATATGCAACACTCCCAAGACTCTTATTGCCGTGAGCCCAGAGAGCACTGCTCTTCGTTGGCTTCCGCATCCCCGGATCTCAGAGCTCCGATTCGGAGGCCGAAAACCCGAGGCGGGACGTTCCGGGAGCTTTGGGATTTAGGGTTTAGAGTTAGGATTTAAGGATCAGGGCTTCGGGTTCGGATTTAGGACATATTTCGGATGTACAAGTTTTATAGAGCTTGTAGGGCTTATAGGGCTGATAGGGCTCGTAATGTTTTACAGGGCTCACAGCTTAGGACCTGAAGTGGACCCTGAATGGTAGGTCTAACATTCCCAGAAGGGGTCCTCAGCAGGAGCTTAGGACAGCTCTTGGGATCGATAATCTTGTACGTCTTTTGCTATGAGGAATTTACGGTGCTTTATACAAGCTTTATGTTTGTCGCAAAGGTTCAACATTCGCGAAGGTTGCCATGTATCGGGTAAAGGCTAGGGCTTAGGTTTAGGGTTCAAGGTTGGGGAAGTCGGGCCGGCAGCGTTTCTGAACGCAAGGACGAGCCCCGCAATCTAGATCCGAAATAGCAACATCTCCAATATAACAGCAATTTTGGGGCCCCATAACTGTATGAACCAATCCCGTATCAATCCCCTACAACCCAAACTCCTTCAGCACGTCATATTTGTCTTCAATCGCCCTGACGACCGGCTTCCTGCAGGGATACATAAGGAAGTCATGCCGATGCCACATGAATCTTTTGAGATTACAGGTATTTTGGCACCTTGACGTTTTTGGTTTAACAAGGATTCTATTAAAATGTACCAGTGCGTCCCACTTCCCGGAGCTTCCAGACGGAAAACTTCATGTACCAGGAGAACATGTGGGCTCAAACGGCTGAAGCTTCTTATTTTCGGACCCAGGATTTACGGCTAAATGTTGCACAAATTATAACGTTTACGCCCCAATCGATTGGAACTCCATGCAAATAACATGCGGCCCCTGCTTTTGGCGGACACATCACGCACTTCCATCAACCCAGCCTCTGGCTCCAGTCGCATTCAGCGTTTTGGGCTGAAGTTCCGGGTCTCCGGATTTAAACGCATGAGTCTCACTCCCAACAAATACTGGTTCTGAAGGAGGGGCCGAAATTGAAACCCGAAAGGAAAACTTGTGCCCTACACACACCCAACCTTCTCTACCAAAGCAGCAACTTAAGCAAAAACCCAGAATCAAGATGCCAACCTGCGCGATGTGATGACCTAGCTTGAAAAAACTGATGAAAGTTACGAACCCACTCGTTTTCCCGTTGATGCACGGGCACCTGTCGCATTCGCATTCGCGGAAAACGCGCAAGGTTGCAAAAGGAGTGTCCGACGAGGTTGGAATGCAAACGAAGATGTACAAAACAAAGCCCTTCCCAAGGATAGGGGATCGAACGGGTCTGTTTTCGAACTCGCCCTATTACGCGACCAAACTTTCGATGGTTGGGGCTTGACATTTATGGCTCGGGCGTGGTGCTTCGCTTAAATTTTCAGGATCTACTTAAAGTTTGGGTTTGGAGTTAGCGGCCTAGGGTGTAGGATCCAGCAGCTACCGTCACTCGGATTCATTTCAATCTTCACACGTTCGTTGCACGCAACCTCGCCAGGAACACCTTCCTGTGCCCAGAAACCCTCACAAAAGCCAGTAAAAATTAAAAACCCTATGACAAAACTTGTACTAAAAACCCTGAAACCACTAAGCCAAACACTAACCGCCCTAACCCTAAACCCGAAAGCCTGAAC